ACAGAGGCTTAGTAAGAGAAGGAGCATGCAAGACACGATTTAAATAAAGAGGACGAGAAAACGATGGCAAAACAGATTGACCAACATGCTGAATAGGTAAAGCATCTCCATTACCAACTAAAATATGAACTGTACCAGTATAATCATTGGAGATACCGAGAGAGGACAAATCTGGCGTGACATGATCGGTAGCACCAGTGTCCGGATGCCAGGGAGTGACAGAAGGGGCATACTACGCCATATGGGCTTGAGGAGACATAGTCGACTCCGGGTAAGACGGAAGAGGCAACAAACCAGCTGAAGCCGGTGCAGGAGAACCTGCCTAGGCATAAGCAGCCGATCGAACGGCAGGGGGTCGAGGAACAAAATTAGTATCAAAACGGTGTCGACAAGTGGTGGCCGTGTGATTCAAGATGCCGCAAAGCTGACACGTCTCACCCGGAGCGGGAGGGGTGTACCCACGCGGACCACCACCACGACCAGAAACCTTATTGCGCCGGCCGCCGCGTTGCGAGCGACCGGCACGAGAGGATTGAGGCGGCGTAGGAGAAGGTGGCGACTGCATAAGCATGGCCGTGGGCTGAAGGACCGGCTGTTGGGCGTGAAGAAGCACCTCATACGAAACTAACCGTCCAAGGAGATCTTGATAGGAGGGGGTTCGGATCGGCATTGCGAGCTCCGATGATGCCATTGAATTCGGCACCAAGCTTGCGGAAGATTATGGCATTAAACTCCGCAGAGATATGCGATGGCCGCAAGCTGCAGTGTATCGGCGATGCCCTTCGCTTTGGAGAGAGAGCCGTGGATCGACAAGTCACCTTTCTGCAAGCTGTGGAGCTCCATAACAAGCTGGGTCTGTTGAGCATAAGAAAGAGTGCCGAAACCCTGCTGAAGAGCTGTCCATGCAGCCGCCGACGTTGTGCAACCTTGGAGAACGGGAAAGATCTCTTCAGTAACGGAAGAAAGAATCCAAGAGAGGACCAACTGATCCTTTTGTTGCCAGATATCAAACTCAGGATTGAGTTGGGGCACGGCACCACTGACGGAAAGAAGAAAACATGGCGGTGCAGGTTCGGTGCCGTCGACAATACCGGCAACACGAAACATAGTCAATAAAGGAGTAAACTGAAGACGCCAAGACGAATAGTTGGCCCGAGATTGCAGCTTCACAGTAAAGGAATGATTAAGAGATTAAAGACTAGGTTGAAGGAGTGATACGGGTGTCTGTGAAGGAGGTGCCGCCGGCCGGAGGTGGGTAGCCTGGTCGGTGGATGACAGGTCGGTGATAGTCATCATCGAAAGAAAGCACGCAAAACCGAATAAGGCTCAGTTTTTTTTTTTTTTTTTTTTTTTTGTTTTTTTTTGTTTTTATTTTTTTTTTAATTCAGCAGGCGGCGGCAAACGAGGACACTGACGAGGCTCAATTGACAAGTCGGTGTTTTTGTTGTTTTTTTTTTTTTCAAAGTGCAGCAGGCGGCGGCGGCAAACGAGGACACCGACGAATTAGAAAGACGCCGGCAACGATCCACGGCCGGCAAAGAAGTAGCACGCCGATGAAAAGGACAGAACGACGGCAGCCGAAGTAGCAACAGAGGAAAGCAGTCCGGCAGCAGCAGCAGAAGGACGGCGGCGGCAGCAGCACAACGCAGAAGGGTGAGAGAGGAACGCCGACGAAAAGACAGCAGGGGGAGACAGCAACACGGCAGCAGCGGAAAGAAGGCGTGTGTGCGGCGGCTGTTCGTGACGGCTGTGTGTGGAGGCAGATGAAGTGTGCACGGCCAAAAAAAACCGGCGGCGGGGAAGAGAAAAAAGGAGGAAAGAAAAAAAATTGGGTTGTTTTAAAACCTAGCTCTATACCAACTTAAAATAGGGAATTGTATTAGATTCATAATATGTTTTGCACAATATACAGACTATATATAGACAATAACAAACCCTAAACTAGAACATAATAGGAAATATACTAAATATTACATAGTCTGACACAGAAATGTCGTTTCCTAAATGCAGAAGTAATCCTTTTGATGCGTCGGGCCCGAAGCCTAGAGCTCCTGTATCTGATATCCTTAATGATTTATGGGAATGTTTTCACGGTAATCTCCCGATCGAGTTACTGGATAAGATTCACGAGAAGCAAGAAGCGCTGGAGGAATATCATCGCAGGCACTAAGTGTTGATCAAGGTATATAACTTCAGTTAATTCAGTTTCATTTGTACTATACATTCATCATTCAACCGAATTTTGTTAACCCAACAGTAATTATGCATACGTGAATAGTTTTTACTCTAGGAACACAGCGTCAAAAATTGCAAGAAAATGTTCTTGGTAGCAGCAGTAACCATTAATTTTATTTATTTATTTATTCATTTTACTTTTTAAACTTATTTTTAGTGGAGTAAATTTCTTAATCATGAATAGATTGCTTGTGTGTGGTCAAATTCTTTTAACTCTCAATTAGCAATTGTTGATATTTTTCGGAAGACTAAACTGTATAAATGATCCCTTACATTTGTCTGAATTTAAATTTTGGTCCCTTACATCAACATGTATATGGATTGAGCCTTTACATTTTATTTTGAAACTTTTTGGTCTCTTTTCACTGTTCCGTCACCATTTTCGTCTTGATGACCGTTGATCCTAATAAGTCAGTGGTATTTTCGGGATGACACATATAAGATCAAAATAAAAAATATTTAAATGGTCCCCTACATTTGTCCGAATTTAAATTTTGGTCCCATACATCAACATGTATATGGATTGAACCTTTACATTTCATTTTGAAACTTTTTTTTTGTCTCTTTTCACTTTTCCGTCACCATTTTCGTCTTGATGACCGTTGACCCTACCAAGTCAAGGGTATTTTTGGAATGACACATATAAGATCAAAATAACAAATGTTTAAATGGTCCCCTATATTTGTCCGAATTTAAATTTTGGTCCCCTACATCAACATGTATATGGATTGAACCTTTACATTTCATTTTGAAACTTTTTTTTTGTCTCTTTTCACTTTTCCGTCACCATTTTCGTCTTGATGACCGTTGCCCTACCAAGTCAGGGGTATTTTTAGAATAACACATATAAGAACAAAATAACAAATGTTTTTATAATAAAATAGAATAAAATATTTAAAATTATTATTTTATAATCAAAAAATTAAATAATTTAAAAATAAAAATAAAAACTTAAAATAATTTCAAATTTCAAAGTTCAAATGTTTTTTTCACTTCCCATCTTTGTGGGTCCCACATGCCAGTCAATTTCTCCCACCTTTTTTTACTACAGTAAAAAAATCAAAATTAAAAAAAAAAAATTACCTTCACCCGTCCTTTACCTTTATCCTTAAAAATTTTATTCTCATAATCCAAAATGCCCTTTTATTAATTTTATCTTACCAAGTCATTGCTGGTAAAGGTCAAAGACGGGTGAAGGTAAGTTTGCTTTTTAATTTTGATTTTTCTTTACTGTAGTAAAAAATAGGGGAAAATTGACGAGTATGTGGGACCCACAAAGGTGGGAAGTGAAAAAAAAATTTAAAATTTGAAATTTGAAATTATTTTAATTTTTTATTTTTATTTAAAATTATTTAATTTTTTTATTATAAAATAATAATTTTAAATATTTTATTCTATTTTATTATAAAAACATTTGTTATTTTGATCTTATATGTGTTATTCCGAAAATACCCTTGACTTGGTAGGGTCAACGGTCATCAAGACGGAAATGGTGACAGAAAAGTGAAAAGAGACAAAAAAAAATTTCAAAATGAAATGTAAATGTTCAATCCATATACATGTTGATGTAATGGACCAAAATTTAAATTCGGACAAATATAGGGGACCATTTAAATATTTGTTATTTTGATCTTATATGTGTCATTCTGAAAATACCTCTTACTTGGTAGGGTCAATGGTCATCAAGACGGAACAGTGAAAAGAGACCAAAAAAGTTTCAAAATGAAATGTAAAGGCTCAATCCATATACATGTTAATGTAGGGGACTAAAATTTAAATTTAGACAAATGTAAGAGACCATTTATACAGTTTAGTCTTTTCAGAAATCTCGTCGCGGACGTGAAAGTGGAAGTCGGGAACTAAAAGCTTCAGCTGAAGAGTCAAGTCCAACTTCTGGAACCTTCTCTTGTGCAAATTATGGGGTGCTTGATCAAAAGTAAGTGAGTAGAATTTGCACTCTGGAAGACGTTTTGTTTGATTTCTAGACTTCTTTGATCTTGTTATATGTACGACGTACGTACGTAAAAATTGTTCATGATATATAACATATAATTAATATATATATATATATATCTTAATGAATGAGAAATTAAAATATTTAGATTTCAAAATGAGAAATTCCAATTTGACTTTTTATGGATCAAGTTACACATTTGTCCTTAGTAAAAAATATTATCCATAAAATCTTTGTGGTTAAACAATTACTTATGCAGGGGTATATCCGGTTGTTCAAGGTAAAATATAGTTAAGTTTGACTAAAAATAAAATTTTTCATTTTAGTAAAACTGGACAATAATTATGGGACGAAGGGAGTATTTTTTAGTATTGCTCCAACTAAAATTAAATAAATGAAGACAAATGTTGAATTTACCAAAAATTTCTTTTGTCAAAAAATGAAAGTTAATTGAATCTAGGTAATTCTAAGTAGCAGAAGAAAATCCGAGCATTTTCTATTGGCTCGCGGTGGTGGTAGTCCAATAATGTTATGGAGAACTTGCCTTTTTGTTATTTTATTTATTTATTTATTTATTTTTGGATGACAAGAGTAGTATTTGATAATATTTGAGCGATTTATTTTCATTTTCGATTTTCAAACATGAAGCAAGTTCTTGGAAGCTGGGCAGGTCATTTACCTGGAAGACGATCGATATTGGTATAGTTCGCTCATTAATTTTGTTGCCATTATATCAATGCTAGCTTTAACTGGTGCATTACTATTATTTAATTTGTTGCCATTTAACGTATTATCATTGTTTTATTTAATGATGTTAGATTTTAATTTGTTGCTGTTGAATTTGACTCCATTGTTCAGAACAACTGAGTCAGCGAGAGTGGGACAAGATGCAGATGAAGATCATAGAGCACATCATAAAAAAATTGCAGAGGAAGTCAATGTCGTCGGCCAACCTGACGACTTGCTGCTTTCCGGCGGTGATCCGCAGCAAGCTGTAATGAATGGTGGTCAAAACGGCGAAATGGGAATCTCGTTAGACGGAATAGTGTCATTTTCCGAGGGTACGTTATGGAATGGCCTTCGGCTTACTATTTCTCTTCCACCAGTTCCAGCAGCACCAGCGGCCACATACATATGATGATGATCTCCCAAGAGAAGAGGTGAAAATAAATATCCCTAATAAAGATGTTATAAATGATCACTCAAAAAATATTAGGTCCTCCAGTTGGTTTTCCAAAATCAGCTCTCGTCTGTTCAATTCGATTTCGAATTCAGCCTGTTCATTCGGAAGAGGAAATGTATAATGTTTATCGGTGAAAATAGAGGACACTCTGCCTCCAAAGGCTCAGGGTAAACCAGAAGCTCATATGATTGCATCAATTGAGGAAAATAACCATCCGAAGATCCATGCTGATGAGGAGAGCCAATTGTCAAGTGTTAATTCAACTTCTGATTCATCTACGATGACTAATTCGGTTGGTCTACAAAGTACACCATTCTGATTCATCTTCATTGCTTTCATGGTGGTAAGGCTAAGTTGCAGTGACATAAAATTAATTTGAATGTTCTGGTTCTTTTTTGTTCCAAAATAGGAATTTGTACATTTCGGGGGCTTGCTAGTGGATCATCGAAATTCACCGTAGTTTGGAAAAGTTACATCGTCTTCTTTTAAAGAAAAAAATTCACAAACAACTTCCTAGCATTTTGATTTTGTACAAACCTAGAAAATGTAAAGAATCTAACTATTGACAAGTATCAAATCGTAGGAATTGGATGTTGATTGTTCATTCAACCTCAATGTTAAAAGATAATTTCAACATCTCAGGCAGCTGGATGGATACCCTAATGGTTAGAAAAAATAGCCTGGTAATTAGAATTTTGATTTCATGACATTGTTGAATATCCTTCCCTGTGATATTTTAATATTCTTGCTTCCCAGAAAAATAGTTCTTATTATAATTTTTTGAATTATATATATTTTTTAGCACGATTCATAAAATTATTAGAAATAAAAATATAAATTAAATAATTATTTTGGATGGACAGAATTTAAATTTAATAAAATAAAAAGAAATATCTACGATAACCTAAGATAATTCCCAAATCTTCTGCAGATGACCCAACTGAATGCAGCCCACGAGGCCAAATTAATGATAACGTCGGCCTAGTTCTCTTCAAGTCCATTAATTTATCATAAGTGTCAATGTTCTCCATTTCTATCAAGTTGTGGTATATATATACGGGTAAACAAGTTGTAGTATTCTTTTAAGTACTTTAGAACCACCTAGAGAAACCCAAACTTGATAAATTTTACTCCCTCCGTCCCATAATTATTGTCTACTTTACCTAAAAAATTTTGTCCTAAAATTATTGTCCAATTTGACTTTTTATGGATCAAGTTACACATTTGTCTTTAGTAAAAAACATTATCCATAAAATCTTAGTGGTTAAACAATTACTTATGTAGGGGTATATACGGTTGTTTAAGGTAAAATATAGTTAAGTTTGACCAAAAATAAAATCTTTCATTTTAGTAAAATTGGACAATAATTATGGGACGGAGGGAGTTATTCTTTTGTTTTGCGCATGTTCTCAATTTCTGAAAGGCTAGTGATCCTGCCAAATTAATTTTTAGTATCCAGACCAAATTTCTTTTCTTCTTCCAAAATTGTCCTTATATAAGGTCAACTGTCTATCCTCTTATTATCTCCCTAATCTCATGGTTAATTTTTTTTTTCAAAACAAAAAAATAATTGATTTCTTTAATGGATTTTCTTCGCACAGTCTCAAGTTCTTGCTCCCTTTCTTACTTTTTTTTTCCTGGCTTTTTACCAACATACCATTCTTTGTCCCTTTCTTAGGACTAAAACTGCTGCTTATCATTAAACAGAATTCCATGTAACTTGTCAATAGCACTTTGAGCAAATTATTCGTTTTAAAATTGTACAAAACCATAGCCCATGGACTGGCCATTAGAATCCGTAGCTAACTTGAATGAAAGGATGTTAGCAAAGCTTGAAAAGGTATCATGCAAGGCTTTATAGTCAATAGCCTTATCCAAATTCTTGAAACTTTTTGGAACTAAAAAAAAAAAAAAAAACATCTATTCCCTTTCTGCAGGTTTTTAGGGCAAAAAGGAATTAGAAACAAGTGAAATCAGAGGATTATTTAGTTTTAGGAATTCGACCTTTGCATTGATCATTCGTAGCGGTTGCCTAACTGATCCACCATTATTATCATCATAATAGAAGGAAGTATAAATTCATAATTGAAACCATCGTCGTGAACAAATAACAAAAATTAATCCGAAAGAAAACATGTTTATTGCTACTGAAAACTAAAAGCAACAAAAACTTAAATCAATGGCCAAAAACAATTTTGGATCAGGACAAATAGATCACAAACTGGCCTTTTATTTCCTTGCGCACATGTTCATTTGGAGGGAGATTGAGTTTTGGATATCGAATCAGAAAGGAAAATTAGAGGAGGAGGAAGAAAGTAAGTAATTAACCATCAGATTAGGGGATATAAGAGGATAGACAGTTGATCTCATATGAGGATAATTTTGGAAGAAGAAGAGAAATTTGTTCTAGATGCTAAAAGTTAATTGGTAGGATAACCGGCCTTTCTGAAATCACTTTTAGGATCAAATTTAAAACAGCCAATTGTGTTTTTTTTTAATATAAAAAAATTGGATAGTCCCAGAATTCTAAGATAATAACCATCTCCATCCTAAATCCCCTAACGACCAAGTGTTTACAACTCGAATTTTACAACATATAACTGTGACGATTTTAAACAAATCAAAATCCACATGCATATTCATTTGCTTTTATAGTTATGCTCTTAGTAAAATATTATTTTTTCTGTTCTACAAAATAATTCACATTCTAATCTAAAAATTGTTATAAGAAAATTTCATCAATAAATAAAAATGTAGACTATTGTGTTAGGACAGAGTGAAGTAGTATTATCCCCGTTTAGTTGCCATCGTCCTCAACATTGCGGCTCCTCTCTTCACAAATTTTTGTTGCTTGCAATCAGCTTACTTGGTGGTGCAATGGGGATGAAAAAGAAGCAGTCCAGCTGACTTGTACTGTAAGATGAATAGTTTATCATGTCATATTCAAATAGCAGCAATTTAATTAGTGCTCTAGTTTTGACTTAAAATTTGTTCATAAAAGTGATCAACATCAAAGCCAAAAATGGTCCCTTCATTTAAATTCTCAAAAACAAAACAAAAAAATTTAAAAAACTTTTATGCGGGTTACGTAGCTGTAATACACCCGATGCATCTTGCATCCTAGACCACGAAGCTAGCTCGATCATGGAGAATTCTTTTTATGGTTTTAATTAAGATCAAACATTAATTATAATGGTTCTCTCCTTCTGGCAACAACATTTTGTTCGTCGAAGATCAAACTCCACCATATTTCTTTAGTATATATGAAAAATAGTCTTCCTTTCTTGCAAGTTGCATCAGGGCCCTCTTCTCTTTTGGGGAATAAACAACCATTTCACAAGGATATGTGAAAATTAAATGGTTAACTTTTGACGTAGGGAAGGAAGAAAGTGGATCATAAACATTTGTTGCATTGAATAGAAAACCCAAAATAAAACTTCCACATCCTTGCTGCTTCAAATTGAAGCTTGTTCTAATGAAGGGGCTCAGAAGTTAGTACTTCCTAATTTTCATACAATAGAAATTAGAAAAATATATGCCACTCCGTAATGAGACTAATTTCTTGTAGCTATGACCCCACCAACTTTGGTCCATTTTCAAGCTTGTTTACACCCAAGTCACAACATACTACTCCATCCGTCTCGGAATTATACGTATACACAATTATTGTTATTACGAGACTTCTGAAAGTGTAGAATTTTGTGTTCTTTTACTTATGAGAGCCCGGAAACGAAAGAAACGCCGGTGGACGGAATCCATGAATTGCCGGAAATGAAATTAGCCACGGTGAATTTACTAGCCTCTGCATTAGCAAGCACATGATGTCCAGGCCAGCTAACTCTGCCGCCGGTTCCGGCACCGGGCCCCATGTTTTCAAACTCCGCAAAATACAGGGTTTTGGCATACCCAGATTCCCCTGGCCACTCGGCCCAACCCTTTGGTGTGATCTCGCCGTCAATGTTGGATTGCATCACCACCGCCCTGGAAAACTCCTTCCAGGGCCGCCCCAGGTACGAATCGAACGAGTTCTTCACCGGCGAGAAATCCGACCCGACTGTGATCTTGCAGCTCTGGAGCGAGAACCCCGTGTTTTGACCCGGGTCGGTCCTTCCGTTTGCCAGGATGACGTTGAAGGCTCCGTGGCTGCGCGGTCGCCGGAGCACAAGGTAACAGTTCTGGAAAACTGCAGCGGCGTTTCCAAATATGAAGTCGACGGTGCCATAAATGTCACATTCCCGGTAGAATTGCCGGAGGGAGAGGGCGTAGAGAGTATCCTGGTAGCCGACGAGACTGCACCGGTATAAGACGGCGTGATCCGAGGCTAATAAAAGGGCGATGGCCTGGTCAGCTCCGGCGCCGGCGTTGTTCTGGAAGCCGATATCCTTGGCAATGAAGCCGTCCCCACTGATTGCTGGAGAATTACATCAAGAAGAAGAAGAATAATTAAGTGATTATGATTGACAAATTGTAGTGATTATTCAATGATTACACCAGTATTTACGATAAAGACTGGAATATGATGAAAGCTGAGCATGATAGATACTCCTCTACAACATTATTAACTTTAATTAATTTTTTTTCGTGTGCTAAAGATATTCAGTTTTGTATTTTCATTATTAATTAATTTTTACAATTAAAGCTATCTTTAAAAGAAAATATATGGAGCTCAATTATATTTACCTTGTAAGAAAAATACACATTACTTAAACATGACTGTTATTATGATAAGAAAAGAATAATGTAAATATGCGAAAGTGACATGAAAAAATCTTTTTATACAACCATAATGTGGAGAGAAATGAATGGATCCTAATTGATAGTTTCTCAAAACAGTATTACTGAAAATAGGGTTAATTTGTTTGATAAATGATATGTCCCCGTTTTAATAGTGGGGTCGAAATGAACTATTAGCTAGCTTTATACTTCCTCTAAGAGAAAGTGACCAGAGAAGAAGGGTTGAATGATGATGTTATGTAACTTTCTGAGAAAAAATTGCTTCGTGACTTTGCCGTCTACTTTGGTGACAAAGTACAGAATGAGTACAAAAGTACGTGAACTGCATGTATTTATAGTAACTTCAGTGACAAGTAAAATCTGTTTCCAAATCCAATATTTTGATGAAGAAAATTACTATCGTTTAACCATGCAAGTGATTAATAATTTTTTTTAAAAAAAAGTGATTAATACAATCTATTGACGACCCACTGGAATCATTCCGGTAAATAACACTCTTATTTTGGACCAATGAAATTATTTTGAGAATTATGAATTATCTTAAGAATCAGGGTTAAACTGAATTCCTTTTTGTTTTTTCACACAATTTTCCTTTTTTTTCCCCTTCAAAATTGACATGATTGAATAAAACTTTACTGAATTATTGACGTCTAGTTTTGTTGGCAAGTACACAAGTGTACAAAACGATCTTCTTAAAAAAGATGTACGAGATCAAAACAATATGTCACTTCACTAGCACATATAAAAACAAAGACTAAATATCAAGATAGTAATAATTCAGAATTGGAAAAAAAAAAAAAAAGTATTTTAGAAACTTACTAACGGTGGCAGATCCTTGAAGGGAAGAGCCTCCTCCCACACTACTTGACCCGCTAATCACAGTTGAATATTTTCCATCCCCCACAAGTGTAATTCCATCTTTATTGCAATGAATTTTCTCATTGTAAACTCCAGATTTCACATAGATCACGAATCTTCCTCCTCTGGCAGCCTGAATTGCTTCCGAAATCGTCGTATAATCTCCCGACCCATCTTTAGCCACCACGACATTTGCATTAATCGTGGTACTTTGCAATAGTTTCCTATCTTTGGCCGAAACCCAACTAGGAAATTGTTGTTGTTCCTCGGCCAAGCCACGGCCCTTGACGGTGGTGGCAGTGGCGGTGTTTTTGTGGCTTCCGGCTACAATCCGGTTGACGAGGGCTAAAGGGTTGCTCCCCAGTTGGGACAAATAATCCATTTTCTTTGAAATTTCAGCCATGTAGAAATTGGAAGCGGCATGAGTATCAGCTATGTCTTTGCAGGTTTGATGATAGGTTAGTGCGGCACTAAGCCATGTTTGGATGTCTGTTTTGTGATTTTCGGGTGATTGTTTAATAGCTTCCAGGGCCTGATTCAGCCTTTTGGTTGACATGCTCAATAATTCACGGCATTCACCTGAGAAGTACATGTAGATTATTGTTAGCCTTCATCAAAGTTTATCCCAAGAAACAGAAACGAAAATAATTAATGCTGTTTTGCGACATGTTGTTTACTCTTAAATATGTAAATTACATGTATACCCTTCCTGTCTAGTAATGATAGTTGAATTTATTATTTCTTCCATTCTGAAATGATTGTCTAGTCTAGAATTTTATTTTATTTTTTTTGTTGAAAATATACTAGTAGTAAAAATCTAATTGAACAATCATTTTTAGCATAGAAAGAGTATGTTATTAAGTAGAGGAACAAAATTACTACTATGAGACGAAGAATTTATCACCTATGGCGGTGCGGGTATCTTGAGCTTCTTTGGAAATAAAATGATAACTTAGTGCTTCAAAATTTGAAACAGGAAGGATGTTTTCTGAAATGGTCTTCTTGATCAGGAAAGACATGAGATTGGTGGGAGTTGAATTATCTTCTGAAAATAACTCCCCTGAGGACAAAGCATGATCAGCACATAATTGAGGAAATCTAGTATATCCACATTGAGTAAGCAAATATTGCTGCTCAACCACAGCAGCACCTGAAATAGCAAAATATAATAGACAAGTAGACATGATAATGATAAACTTTGCCATTGCCATTTTCAGCAAGAAAAGCAGAAGTGTGGAACTTAAAAAATTGGAGGGAATTTGGTTTTGTATGTTGTTTAGACCAAAAAAAAAAAACCAAAATAGGGAGCTTTGGTGACCAAAATGGAAATAGGGGTACTAAAGTTTGTTGTGGATCATTTGGTGTGTGATGACCAGTATTTATAATGAGGAAAATTATAGTTATTTGGGCCACACATAGCAAATACACGCTATTACAGCCACTGCTTACATGGTTGTTTGAAGGTCTGTTTCAGGGATCCACTTCATAAACTACTTGTGAACACCTATCCAGGCAAAATATATGTAATGATAGATTTTCATTTTGTATAAATCTTAATGCACATTATACTTTCATTGTTTAGCAGTTCATTAAGTGTGAATGGAACTTGTAGATTCATTTTAATCTGGAAGATTGCTTAATATAGTTTAGGGTAAGTTATTTAGAACCAGTGTTTCGAAAAGATTGGACTTGCATACCGTTAGTGCCCAGGGATCGGTGCATGATATTTCTAGAATTTCTCTAGGGATTTACTTGATTTCACTTTCTTGCATGGTAAGTAGAAGACTATCACTCTATCCATCCCAAAAGATGGCTATTACATTATTAATTAAATTGTCACTTTCAGCCTTACCGATGATTTTTGCAATCTGAAACAGATTTGCAACATTACCATAAGACTTAATAATACTGCCTTAATGAGTAAAAATGCATGGTTAGTGTAACGACGTTATGGCAAGGTTCTAAATCGGTCTTTTGAAATAGGAAGGGACTGAATCTCGTTCACAATTCATTGGGGATTTAGGAGTCACATTGTTACACCAAGAAAGATAATCTCACTGTGTGAATGAAACATTATAGGTACCAATAAACACGCACGCTCTAATTATATATGATAACTTGATCTCTAAACTCACTTTACGTACTTAAATACTCTCTAAACTCTCTAATTATTAAAAAATATTTTAATTTTTTTTTCAATTAGAAAAACATACTAAGTGAAATCTTGGACAAAGTAAAATACCTTATAATAAGGACTAGAGGGAGTATATTGTTTTGCTCTCTTCATCCCACAGTAATAATCGTGTTTGTAAACTGAATTAGTTCAAAAAATTAAATTAATAAATAAACCAAGGGAAATGTGAAGAAAATGGAGGAAATTGAAAAATTTGGGCTTCAGGGACGACTTGGAAAGTCACCGACTAATGAGCGAATATAAGTAGCAGGGAATACATACAAATACAAGTAACCAAAGCTTATAAAACATAGGCGACGACTTTTAAAGTAACAAGTTCTTTGCACGAATAAGTACGAATCAATACGGTGTGATTATGCGCATGTTTACATCGAACAGTGATTGATATAAATGACAATTTGGATTATGACGTCAAAATTAAACAAAAAAAATTTGTAAACCGCAATTTATTTTGGACCTCAAAAAAGCATGTTACTTTGAGTCAAGCTTCACATTCAGCCAGCCACCGTTACATTGTTTAATTTTAGGCCACTAATTAGTTTTATGAGGTCCCAAAGATTAAGACCCATCTTCATTTAATTGATGACATGTATTATGATATATATTATGCCTATGTAGTGCATACACCAACCGTAAATTGAATTTAATTTTGACAATGTCATACATATGTAACTTTGCAAGTCATCTTGTAAAAGAGAAAAAACATGTATCAAATGCATCAATTTAGCACTTTCCCCTTCTAACTTTCAAAATGGTAGGATATGGAAACTAAAGATCGTGTTCATTAGTTAAAAATTTGACAAGTAGCTCCGTAATGTATTAGTCCAATTTTAGCGTTGTCGCCTCTTCTATTGTAACTAAAAAATAAATAAATTTGACAAGTACCGTTGATAATTATTCAGTAGAGTTCAATCTCACTTCCCGTTTTGTTAAGATATGAACCATAGAAACACATAATAGTTTGAAAAGTGTACCACAAATATAAAACCAAAAGTGTCACAAGCTTTTTCATCTCGTTAACTACTTAGCTAGTGTTTCCCTCACCCAAATTTCATAATTACTAGTACTAATTTTAGGGTTCAAACCCGTCAACTGTTAAATGTGAAACTTTGCAATATAAAGGATATCCTAATTACAACTAAGCCAACCATTAATATATTCCACCAAAAAGTGGTGCCATGAATTAATATACATCATTCACGAGGCTTTTCTTCAAAGTACTATTATGCGAATGAGATTGATAAAGAACCTAGCGGCTGGTGTTATGCACACTATTTTTAATTTCACTGAAATGAAAAAGAGCATGAAAGCATAATACACACACTTTTTGGTCATATCATTAGTCTTGTCCATCCACATTTGATGTAAGAATTCAACTTATTAGTCATTCGAGGCCATTTGTAAAGTATTAACTTCCCAATTGGAATTAGCCAGGACCAAGACCAACCAAAAAGTGTTGGCAAAAAGTGCGTAGGTTTAGCGCTCTTTTATTCTTAGCCACAAATATGATAATATAACATATGGTTACTTATTTAATTCACTCAACTTTGAGTCTATCGAGATAGCTTGATGTCAAGGTTCTCCAATTGGAACATGTGTGCTAGTATATGAAGCTTCTTAGTCAGTGATGTGCCTTTTTCCAATCATTCTCATCCATTTCACATATATTTTCGTTGTTGGATAGTGTATTAGTAATTTTTTTCCCTTAGAAAAAGAAGTATTCTATTGCGCTTGCCGATCTCACTCATCCTTAACTCGTCACTTTTGAGGACTTATTGCATTTGATCAAAAAAAGTCTTTCCTATATTGTGGGGGGTAAAACCAAGGCCAAAAGCTCTTTTTTTTATCCGTAGTGTATTTTAATCTAGTTGGTTTAGGCACTTGCCTCCATTTCTCTAGAAATAATAGTATAGTTTACTCGGTCATTCTTATGTCGTCGTTTCTGAAAACTCATTGCTTATATTAAAGTAAAGTGGTTCAACACCTCGTCCCTTAAGCATGAGGTTAGGGGTTTGATCCCCGTCCATGTGAATGGAGTAAACTAGTATTTGGCTAGTTCTTTATCGCTTAGTGCACTGAATGTAAGAACGAAAGATTAATTCTCTCGCTATCGACGGGAGAGATACCTTGGAAACCCAAAAGAAAAAAGCAAGGAAAATGCGTCTGTGGAAATGCTTTAAATTTAAAGTTTATATTTCTCTTAAATCGATTAGATGGAGTAATTAGCTCTACAGATGTTGATATTACAAAATCTCTTTCTTATTGTTAGGGTAAATTCTCCCCTATGTACTTTATATAGAATAAGCTATCAATCCAACTTATTTTTTGACGTCTTTTTCAATTCTAGTTTCGTGATTACCATTCTTACTTAACCCTCCCAACTGTCAGTACTTTTACAACAAATTAACTTGATTTATTTATTTTTTAATTGTAATTACTTATGCCTTATTAATGACTTAATTTCCTTGTCTCAGTTATCCTGGGGACAAAAGAGTCGATAGGATTGTGAAATGCAACTTATATAACATGAGCTTATATTCTGAGATGTCAAAACCACCTCATAACTTTGTTATACCTAAAACACTCGTAAAAGAATAAAAACAAAAAAGTGTGTAAAAAGTATTAACGGAACTTTATCAAAATTTAAAATTAGAGTATAAAAAAAATAGTTGTTATATGATATTAAAAGTAAAAAGATTAGAATGAAATTGAAAAAAATTATATTTAATACTGCATTAAAATGGAGTGCGAAAAATTAAAAAAAAAATAAATGTACTCAAATTAAAGTGACAAATAAAAGTAAACGGAGCTGGTATTATGAAAAACCCAGCTTTTTCCTCCTCCCTTTCGCATAGCCATCACGTACGGTCCAATCCCTATTTAAAAGCTCCCAAATGGCCGTAACTAGACTGCCATCAGTTCCCAACTGTTCATCATTAATTATTAAAATGTGGTGGAGGAATTTTTTAATTAGTTTTGCACAACATAATTATAAATAAAACATCGAGACAAGCAATTTCTTTTTTTCCCAATTTTCGAAGATGATTAGAATGAAATGAAACTTGTCTTATCAGAACAAGAAAAGCAACAGAAATATACACTTTTGCATGCATGAAGCCAGTACTTTACTTATGTACGTTGTAGACATGGTTATGTGACTTGTCTCCATGCAACAGAAATGATGGGATGAATGCTCCTTTTTACTAAACTACATTTAGGAAAATACTCTCTAACTACCTAGCTACCTACTTAATTAGTATTAAGGAACTAGGAATAATCTCATATTAATTAATGAACATATTATACATATAACTACCTCTTTTTTTTTTGCATATTGTAAAGTGTCCACCATCGGTAACAGTAACTAATCCCCCTCGCTCATGGTAGGCACTTCGATGGGTGGAAGAGCTGGCCAAAGGATTAAAAGTTGCTCCATGCCCATGGCGAGGTTCAAACCCTCGACCTATAGTTAAGGGTGGAAGAGCCCTTACCACTCCACCACAACCCCTTTGGTTTACATATAACTACCTCTAATTAGCTGTGAGCTATCCTTAAATTAATTCTCAACCAAAACAGATGAAAAGCAATTGGCTAACTGTTCTTCGCGCTATCTAATTGAGATGTGCTAGAACTACATACATGACTGGCATATAACTGGATCATTTAATCATGCTTTCTTCATTATGTATTATAGTCATAACTGGACTATGATATGTTGTCCCTATCGATTTTATATTTTGTGATGACAAAGAGATTTCATAAGTTGAAAAATTTCATTATTATTCAAATGAATAGCCGACAAGTACTTTCAGGGTCCTCACTAGGGATCTTGATGATTCAGCTGTCTACTATGCTCTTATATATGTTTGTGGTGTACATTTAAAGTAAAACCTATGCGAGTTTCGTCTGCGATCCAATTAGTTGCCAATGACAAACTACAACGTTCCAAATGAACTTTGTTGAATTGAGCGCATGAAGGCCGTCGCAGTCTTTCCGTTGCAATAGGGACGATGGATTAACAAAGTAGATTATTAACTTGAGATGAGGTGCAGTGACGAAATTGGACGGATTTTATTTATTGTGATTTTAAGGTAAAGCTTTAGCTGCAAATAGGCAAATCTTCTGTTTTAGTTTGATTATCGCATTTGTTGTCACATAAATTTTACGACAAACAGTTTTTTTTTTTTTTGGTTAAAAAATAAATTAAGAACAATAACAAAAATATTCGTGGCTACAATGAAATTGTAGGCCAATCAATACTCTATTTATTGAACTTCTAATCGTACCTAAAAAGTATTATGGCTGGTATAACCCAACATCAAATGACCCGATGCATAAAGACTTGTCTAATTTTCAGGTTTTCCAAATAGCATGGTTTACCAACTTGACAGCGTTTTGATACATTCGCCGGTGATCGATGATAGCTTTCTTTTTTTATGTTAATTGGCTGACTATACAACGTGTTGCACATACATAAAAAAGCTTAATATAGTAATTAATTTCTTCACCATGGAAAACACGAAAAGTAAAACAATTATTATTATATATAATCTGATTTGAATTTTTTTTTTTAATCTTATTTGTTGTACACCATGAGTTTGAGATTACAACATATGTATACACAATGTTTTACATTCACGATAGGTAGGGTATTTGACCCATATTACACCTAGAAAATAATATATATACTAAAAATGTATATTGAAATGAAATAGTGACTACTATGATACATGTATAAATATAGTGTTCTATTACAACTTGGCTGAATAGAAGTAATTTACCCGTGTTGGACCGAACTTTCTAGTAAGTCGGTTAAGGAATTGCAAACTGACTAGGATTGCTATTATGAAAGAGTTAAGGTTCGTTTGATAAAACTTAATTTGGATCTGAAGTCTGAAATCTGAACACTGAATCATAAGTACTGAACTGATTAAGTTTGTCGTGTTTGATAAAAACCAAAATCTAAACACTGAATAAAATGTCTGAAATATGAAGTCTGAACACTGAAATTTAAATTATTTCAATTCATAATTTTATCTAAAAAAATAATTGTTGTATATGAAACTATGATACTAAAAATAATAATAATATTATTAAATAATGTAATAAAAATATTTAAATTTTATTATGTTATTATTTTTTCAGTTAATAATAATGTCATATGTCATCATTGTCAAAAAGAATTCATATTTTATGGTAAATATATATTGATCATGGAATTTAATGGATTTTAATTTTTATATAAAAATAAATATTTATTAAATAAAAAATAATTTACGTAAATTTTAATTTAAAACTAGACATCATGATTAATAAAAATATATTAAAATATTTCAAGATAAAATATCAAATGTATAAATATAAAAATAAATAAATAGAAAAAAATCATCTCAAGAATTTAGTTCAAACATAAGTGATAGGCCTATCACTTATTTTTAGGCTCACATTTGTACTAGTATTTCAGACCCACTTAAGTTATTAAGACATCCTACTTTCAGTTATCAAACGTACTTAAAATTTAAGTCCTTAATACATTAAGTTCTTAATCAATTAAATTGTTATGCTATTGTATTATCAAACAGTGCTAATCAATTAAATACTTAATTAATAAGTTTAAGTACTTAATTGGTTTATCAAACAGGGCCTTAGTAAATAGATTATTCTTCTTAAAACTCTGACCGGCTTAAACATCGAAAATGCTAATCTCGGCAAACTTATATGTGCAGAATTAGGTTTTCAGCCGTTGATCTGCAATGACGTCGGAATTCTTCCTTTAACAATTGATATGGATGAGAAAATAAGAGCGGAAACTGGCGATACTGGAAATGAGGTACATTGAACAAGAAGACCATAAAACAAGAAATCGTAATCCGGAAACTTCATACAGTTTCTAGTTTGGGTGTAAAAAATGCCAAAAATAATGCAGTATAATAGTTGGACGAAAATTAGTGGATCGAATACTAAATAATTAATACGCCCAAATCCACTATTGTTTTCTATCTGGCTTGGAATTTCGAACAGGAGCACATGAAAATGTAGCCATTGAAAACAATGTATGAATGTTTTAATTGCATTGAACCAATGATGAGCAAACAACCACAATTATTCCCCCAGAAGTTGAAAGAAGAATGACGAAGAAGAAATTTCCAGGTGTACTCTTTTGGGCCTTGCTGACAATACTTCTCAGGATTATGATTTAATTCCTCGGATCCTTATTATAAGGTATTTTGATTTGTCTTAAATTTCACTTTTTACATTTTCTCGATTAAAAAAAATTTAAAAACTACATCTTCACATTTATTGTGTTATCCTAATTATTACGAAATATTCTTAAGATTTTTTTTTCAATTAGAAAAAAAAATTAGTTGAAACTTAAAACAAAATAAAATATCTTATAATAAGGCCAAAGTATTTACTGCCCCCAGAGGCATCTCTTCCTTTTATCAATCATATTTCGCATGAGTATTTTTCTTTATAGCTGTTTCACATAAAAAAATGTAAATTAGTAAATAGTCCTTACTCCGTCCCAAAATAATTATCTAATTTGAATTTTCATTTTTAATATAATTTGTAAGGAAAAAAATCTAAACAAGACAGTCATTTCGGAACGGGAGAGTAACATAATTAAGTAAAAAAGCAGAGAAAAAATATCGCGGGGGTTGATGAGGAGTGACTTTGGTCTCGTATGGTTTCAATTTTGTGAGTTTGTAAAGACATCTGGCACGTTTTTGTGGGTTTCAATTTTCGTGTTGTGTTGGTGTTATTTTACAAAATAAAAGATAGTCATTTCGTGCTGTGTCAGAAATTAATTACCTCCAATTACTAGGGACTAGAGAGGCCACGTTTTCCTGAATATGAATCTTGTTTTGCGCTCCTGAAATTCGCGGGATTTCCATGAATTTTGTAGTGTCTTCAGTCCTCTTGGTTATGTTCTTTTTGTTCCCATTTTAATTTTAGATTTTACAGCTTCATATATGAGATCCAAAGACACAGAACTAAACTGTAAGATAAGTTTTGAGTATATACAGTTATACACAAACTGAAGCAATTGATTTTCCTTTTACTCCTCTCAGATCTAATTGAAAATTCATTGGTTTTGAAACTAAAAAACTCTGCGACTGGTGATCAAAATTGTGTAACAACAAAAAGAAATTTAAACTTTCTGTGTGATGTTTTTTCTGCCTCTTTCTAAGCATGATTTTTCTTTTTCTTTTTCTTTTTTTTTTTTAATTTCTTCTCTGTCCTTTTTTGGGTTTTAAACTTGAAATCGTTGGCAATGACAAAAACAAATCTATACACATGCACCAACACCGATCATTGAGTCAAATCCCCTGTAGTAGCTCTCCCTGGCAAATCCATCACAATATCACTGCATGTTTTTTTTTTTTTTTTGGTTAACAGATTATGAAAAATCAGGATTCTGATCAAGAATTTTAGTTGAAAAGCCCGAAGCGGACAGGAATGCCAGTATCAGGGCTCAGCCAGCTTTCTCCCTGGATGAAAGGACCAACTGTGTATTTCATGGCCTCATCCCTTTTAATGACTCCTTTGTAACCAGGCCATTTCACTCTTGCATTGGTTTGTGATCCAGGTCCTTTGTTATTGTATTCGGCGTAGTAAAGGGTACTCAGGGCGAAGTTTCCTTGCCAGGGCATGTACCCATCAGGATGAATGAAATCCCCGATTTCAGTTTCCATTATGATGGTCCTCGAGTATTCTTTCCAGGGCCTGCCTAGGTAGCTCTTGAATTTGGCTTTTACGGGTTCAAGTGTGTCGTCTGCCAAAATGCGACACGAATGCAGGACTATACCCGTTGTTTGGCGCTTGTCCACCCTTCCTTGAGCCGTCACAATGTTTTGCTGGTTGTCCATTGGCTTTCTGACATAGATTAGACAGTTTTGGAATATGGAAGCCGAGTCGCCAAAGATGAAGTCCACGGTGCCAGTGATGTAGCAACTGCGATAGAATTGCCTGTGAGTTTGAGCATATAGTGTGTCCTGGTATGCTTCCATCCGGCAATTAACAAAAACAGCGCGGTCAGATTGAACTCTTAAGGCCACTGCTTGATGTTTATCAGGACCAGCTGTGTTTCTGAAGCCTAGGGATTGTGCCATAAATCCATCTCCAATTGCAGCTGCAAGAAATAGAAATCCAAATACACCTCTTTAGGCACTTACTTTATAGAGACAGAATAAACGTACCCAATCTTCTTGTTTTTACGCCAGAAATAGTGTCACATGTTTAGATATTTCTAAGACTAAGATCAGTTTTTGAAAGAGGGGAATACCAAAAGTTGCAGTAAGATAAGTTGGCACCCCGTCAACAAAATTTTTGTTCCCCGTGATCACACTCTTTTGAGATCCATCTCCATACATTGTAATATTGACCATCTTTTTTGTCACCATCACATTTTCATCATAAACTCCTTCCTTAATATATATGGTATACCTGCATAATCCACAAAAAGAATCGCAGATAGTTGAGTTATCGCGAACCATGTAACGCGGAAAACACGAAAACAGAGCCAAATTTCAAAGAAGACAAAGGGTTGCTATACCTTCCCTTGTAGTTGGCAGGTAATGCAGCCAATGCAGCATTGATTGTGGTAAAATTGCCACTACCATCTTTCGCCACGGTTACATTAGGAGTCATGGCTGTGAGATTCATCTTTAACATCCTGCGATTATCTAGCGTCATCCATCTCGGGAACCCTTCATCATCCAAGGAATTAGGCACAACAGGTTCCTTTTGTAGAAGGCGGCGTTGTTGTTTGACGTCAACGCCGAGCAAAGAAGAAAGATCCAAAAGCGAAACCAATGCAAGAGAATTGCTGGTGAGTTCTTTCACACTGGTCATCAACTTCTTCAGCCCTGTCTTAACTGGTCCATCAGGGAATCCATCATAACAGCTTTGCTGGTAAGACATAACAGCACTCAACCAATTGTTCAAATCTCCCGTGTTGGATGAATTCGTAGTCACGCTGCTAATGGAGCTATTCAATTCGTCTTTCGCGTCGCCAAGGAGAGTCATACAAAGATCAAATGCTTGCTTACTTTTGGGATCTTCAAAATGGATTGCGCTTCCTGCCTTGATTGCTGCATCAATCCCTTCAACAATAGCAATCATTGAAGCCTTGAAAAGATTTTTCGGGGACAAAGCCGTGGTGGCGTTGGCCTTAACCGCCTTCGTCAGGCTGGTTTCGCAGGTTTCTTTATAATCAGTCGATTCACAAACAGTCTTGACAGCTTTCTCTGAGGAAGACGTCGTTGGTTTCGTCGGGGGAGCTGCTGGATGCCCTCCAGATGGAGGAGAATGATGCTGTGCATTAGCCTGAGTCGAATTCGGGAAAATTCGATCCTTATAGAATACTGCACAAACAGCAGCAGCCACCAAAAGGACCAGAACCATGGAAGAAACAACCGCGATGGTGATTCGCCGCCTTATCTTCCTCTGCCTCTCATTCTTCCGACGTTCTGAGATAAGATCAAAATCTTGAAATGCCATTGTTTTTCTTTTATTCAAATCCCGAATTCGGGTTTTGTTGTTGTGTTTTTTTTTTTTTTTTTAGGCAGAGAGATAGCTTTGGCAGAGATCCCTCTCTGCCTTGGCTGGTTTATCCAAGGCAGAGGATGTTTTGTGTTGGTGAGAATGTGATTAGTTTTGGTAGATCTCTGTTATCTCTCTGTCTAAGCTTTTTCTTGAGAGCTGTTTTTCCATATATATTTGGTTTGGTTTTTATCTTTTTTTGATGGGGATGTGTTAATTTTAATCCCATGATTTTTTTCATTTTTTTTTTATTTTGAGCTGTTTTTTCCCAAGTGATCGTAGAAGAAGCTCTGGAATAGAGAGATTTTAGGAGTTCTAACATTATTACATTATCATATCCACTCAGACAAAAAGGCCTTCCAGTTGAAAGCACATTTGGACACAAACATAACCGCATTTCCCGCAAATTTTCTGTCTTACATCTTCTGAATATTATTGCTGTGTTTGTTTTACTGCTACTCCCTCTGTCCCAAAATTATTGTCCAGTTTGATATTTCACTTTTAGCATATTTTGAACTAGAAATGAAAACTCAAACTGGACAATAATTATGGGACGGAAGGAGTACTACTTTTGGATGGTCCAATTGATCTGCTTTCGGATTTTTATTTTATTGTTTTTAATATCTTCTTTTATGCTATAAATTAGACCTTATTGATGGATTGTGTCTAATCTTGTTTGTAGAATGAATTAGTGTTGTCTCAAATTTTCCAATACAATAAACATCACATTTGTTGGATTATCATAATATAATAAACATAATTCTAAACAGAAGGAGAGTATTCGAATTTCGTCTCATTTTAACAATACACTTTGATAATCTAAATTATTTTAACAAAGCGTAAACCAAAGGAGTACAAGGCATTCACTGAATAAAAACACCGAGAACCATCTGAGAGACCGTCGTAGGCCCGGATCTCGATTCAGAACCCGAAGGAAAATGGAGTATAAAAATACATAAAAACTAAACATGAAGATAGTATCCATATCCGGGAGGAAGAAAAAAGGCTGGTAGCCGAACGGTGGCGGCGAACACATGTTCCCTTCCGCATCTTTTCCAGAAAGCAGCTCCGATGTCCGGACGATTACAAACGCACAGGCCGTAACGATTCCGCAGATGACGGAATTGATATCATTCTCAGCGGGGATTTCAGATTCCTCAATCGGAGACTCTGCCGGAGTTGTCTTGCCCATTAGCTCTGCCATCGTTTCGACTAAAAACGTTAACGTGGAACTTGGTAATTAATAAGTAGATATTTGAGGTAAAGAGAGAGATAAATTAACGTACCAAGGGGTTCAAGTTCAAGTCACATTATATAGGCGTTTCAATAACATGAATCACATTTAGAATCGGAAAATATTAAAAATCGATTCATGGTAAGAAAACAAATTACGAAACCAGTAAATTATAGGAATACTACTATGAATATGAAACTCCTTTTTATTTTTAAAGAAAAAAAAAACTGATTATATTAATAGGTAATATTATTGGAATAATAATATGCTCATAATGGCTATGGATTTAACAATATCGTACACATAGAGTTTGGCAAATAAATAAATAAAAAATCAACAATATACTCTCTTCCTAAAATAACTGCCATGATTTATTCCCTCCTAGTTGAACAAAAGATTTAGGTGACTCTAGGTTCATGATGGATTTTGGACTTTAATCAGTTAAAATTCTTTTTGTGTTCGTGATAAATTTCGAACTCCCAATCACAATCTTGGTTTATTATTCTCTCTGTCTTGAAATTATTTTACAGTTTGAAATTTTAATTTTAGTACAAATTGTACTAAAAATGAAATATAAACTGAACAATAATTATCTTACCTGCGCAAATGTTTGAATTGGTAAATTGGTGAATGGTTATATGTAGGTTATCTTCCATTTAGCACAGAAAAATTGTAGGTAATCTTCCTCCCTTGGTTTCCAAAATCCTAGAATGGGCCATTATAACTCTAATTTATAAGAACATAGGCCTGCCCACGGATAACTTTAGCCCATGGACTTTCATCTAATCTCACTTTGTTAACTTTTTACTGTATTTTAAATAACTTTAGTCCCTGATACAGCATGCACTATCTCATATTCCAGAAGAAATCCAATACAGACCTATCAAGAACTACATCAACAGGGAAGGAAGCTGGCAGTGGGAACTCATTACCCCTTGGCTGCCAACAGAAGTAATTTACAAAATCATGGCCATCCCAGTTCCAGACCCAGAACTGGGTAGTGACAAACCAACTTGGCGATGGAGGAAGAATGGCACTTTCACGACAAGTTCGGGCTATAAAATCATTACCAGTGAAAAGTGGGAGCCAGAAGATAGAAAATGGAAGGCCGTCTGGCAATGGAAAGGCCCGGAACGAATTCGCATCTTCCTATGGTCTCTAGCGAGAACGTCCATTCTAACAAACGCGGGAAGGATGCGGCGTCGTCTCACCGACAACGACGACTGTGTGTTCTGTGGCAGAAGTGAAACGCTTCTCCATCTATTTCGCGACTGCCCCAAAACCTCACAAATTTGGAACAACATAAATCCTAAACTCTCTTCTATTTTTTGGGTAAATCAAAATTAGAATTCCTGGCTGACATCTAATTTAATCTATTCACAATCACAGGAAACACATTCATGGCCAACCTATTTTGCTACGGCCTGCTGGAAAATGTGGAAAGCACGGAATGAAGATTCATTCGAAGGCAAATATAGCAGCACCAGAGATCTTACCTTGCAGACCCAAGCGGCAGCGGCGGAAATAGAGCGATCAATTCGTCACCAATCCTTGAAAATTTCCAAGCTGAGCGCCTCCTCGATCAATTCGTCACCACTCTGGAAACCTCCACCTCGGGGTTGGGTGCACCTGAATACGGACGGAGCTGTCATGTCGAATCCGGCTATGGCATCGGCCGGTGGACTACTCAGGAACCATGAAGGCAGGTGGATTTCCGGCTTCGTGGCAAAACTGGGGGACTGCTCGGTGTTAGAGGCAGAGCTTTGGGCCTCTTTTTTTGGACTATCAGTAACCTGGGATCTGGGCTTTCGGCAACTTCAATTACAAATGGACAACCTGCATGCAGTCCAACTACTCAATGAGGAAAACCTATTTTTTGCTTCTAGTAATATATTATCTAGAGTACGTAGCCTTCTCAACCGGCAATGGACCGTGGAAATCTCCCACATAAAACGGCCCGGAAATGAGCCGGCTGGTTCTCTAGCCAAACTAGGGTTCACTTTTGATCCGGGAATAAACGTTTTGTCAACACCTCCCGTGACAATCTTAGGAAAGTTAGCAACAGATTACCCTAGTCCAACTCATCCCGAATGAGTTACTTTTGTATCCCAGGCTACGTTGTAGCTCCCTCAGTATATATATATATATATATATATATATATATATATATATATATATATATATATATATAAATACTTACCCCGTGTTTAAAAAAAAAAGCTTACATTACAAATTAGGATGTAAATTGTTTTTTCAAATGATTATGATTTTTTTAAAAAAAAAAGAAGTTGTAATAATTTGCTCTTACTAAAAAACAAACTCACCGCTTGTCCTCATTCAGTCATTTTGAATTTTTTATCCATATATTTTTACCAATTAACAACAAAAGTTCCATAACGTAGTTGCAGCCTACAATCAAACAGTGAACAGCACCGGGGGACTGCGACTCTGAGCTTTTAGCACGTAACTATCATAACAAGTGTTACTCCTTTTCGTCCAAAACTTATTAATACTACAATTTGTCAAACAAAAACCAAAAGAAAAGAATAAGTAAATTTTGGAGGTAGGGGGAGTAAAAGTCAAAATTGTGGCCATGAAGTCAAGACTCAACTAGCAGAAACATCACGTATGCAAAATCTTTTGCTACCATAAGCGACACCTTGGACAAACTTTAATTTCATTGGGAACAATTTTGCTCTAAATATCCAACCACTGACACTGACTGTATTGGAAATTAACTTGACACACAAATAAAAGAGCAAATAGATCGAGTAGCTGATTTCAGGTTGATATAACCCACAAAAATGGAGAGATGAGGATAAATTTAGAGCGGAAAAAAAAAAACACGAAAGTAAAGTACAGTTGTCTTGAAATTTGATGCAAGTGACTGATATAATAAAAGAGGCAATATATTAAAACAGATAATTTAAAAGGAGACACAAAGTAGTATACAACATTTGCTCCAATTGGCTATAACTAAACCATGCAAAGTAGGATTACATGTCTCTTTTCTTTTGCCACTACTCTTCATTGCAAGACTTGCATTTAACTCACAAAGACTGACCATAATAATTCTCAATGGTACTTGATGCTAATGCCTAATGTCATTAAAAAAAAATCCACAACGAAATTCGAGTTTTCAATGCATATGCTTCATTCCAGCGCTCCAATAGTCCAATCTTTACTCGGCCAAAGCCCAAAAGTAAAAAGCCTTTCTGGCATTGATGAACTTCAACCATATCTAATTGTTTTTCATTGGTCAAGATCTCCAGTTTTTGGGACCCTGCGCTTTTTCCTCGTAACCATCATAACAGTTGCTTTCAATACGAATTGTGGTCATGAATTCAAGACTGATTCGTAATAAAACAAATATCAAGCAAGTTTCCAAAGAAAATTTATGAAGCGATTGTGAAACAAAGGACCCCAAAGAAATGCAGCACCATTAGTCAAAATAACAAGTATGATGTTTCTTTCCTTTTTTTTTAGGGTCCACCAGGGTACAATAATATTGCCAAAGAGTGGCAGCCCATTTCTTCTATTCCACATTAAAGATTTTCAAATTAAAGAAGAAAAACAAGTTTAAAAAAAATTAAAAAAATCCTTCACATCGTTTTGCCCCAAATCAAACGCCATTATCATAAGGGAAAGAAGTAGAATCCAGCCATTCATCTCCAGTGATGAAATAGGAGACAGTAAAAGTAGACGCATCGTCGTAACTCATGACGTGATAACCCGGCCAGCCAACCCGATTGTCGGTACCTGAACCCGGTCCATTGTTATTATACTCTCCATAGTACAAAGTACTCAAACTATCAACATCATCCTGCGACCACGGAGTCCACCCCTCCGGTGCAATGTGCTCATCAATGTAAGATTCCATGACAACAACCGTCGAGAAATTCCGCCACGGCCGACCCAAATAGCTCTTGACCGACCCGGCATTGTCATCCAGGTCGACGGTAGGCAGAATGGAGCAATTTTGTAACGAGATACCCGTTAACTCATTCGGGTCGTCCCGGGACTGGGCAGTGATCACGGTGGATTGTCCGGGCAACGGGAGCCGGGAAATGACGTTGCAACCTTGGAGGACGACTGCCGCGTTGCCAAAGATGTAATCTATGGTTCCGTAAATGTCGCATTCCCGGTAGAATTGTCGGAATGAGTGGACGTATAACGTGTCTTGGTAGCCTTTTATTGTGCATCTATAAACCGCGGCCAAGTCTGCGTTGATTCGGAGGGCCACGGCTTGGCCTTTCTCCGGACCGGCAGTGTTCTCGATTTTTATGTCCCGTGCCAAGAATCCTTCCCCGGATACGGCTGAAAATATGTGGGAATTCGAGTTAAAATTACCATGTGAAAGAGGAACAAAAAAAGACAAGACGAAAACATATCAGGACACAAAAACACTACACAAATTTAACTCAAAATACTATACACTAAATAATACTACCTCCGTCCAAAATTATTGTCCAGTTAGGTTTTATTCGAACTAAAAATAAATATTTAACTGGACAATAATTTTGACACGGAGGAAGTAATAGTAAGAAGACATGTTTATTTCAAATATAACATGAAGACAACACTAACGTAACTCATTGCGTGATCTTGGGTATTCACTAATGTTAACAATCATGAATAATATTGAACTTGTAACATGTGTTTGTACAAAATACCTACCCCTGTTATCGAAGTCTACATATAGAGCAAATTAGATTCGTCTGTGAAAATAATATTGACTGAATAACACAAAAAAAAAAAAAAAAAAACATAATAGCCACTTGCAAACCCTATAATTTAATTATTGGACTTACCTAGATCAATATGACTACTACTACTACTTTTAATGGCATCTTCAAGTTGGCTAATCAAGAAAATGAAAATTTATCCAAGTATTCAAAATCCATGCAGATGAACTATAATTTGCACGAGTTGGTAGTTACTGAAATTGACTGAGGAATCAAGAATTAAATGGATGATGTTTTTAGAAACTTTTTACCTAGGGTGGCGGATCTGAATGTGGTCCAACCATCAGCCACACTTCTGCTCCCGGTAATTGTTGTAACATCACTTCCATCCCCAATCAGGACAATATTAGGCTTCCAGCTTGGAATCTCCACATTTTCTTGATAAATCCCCTGCTTCACATAAATGATTATCCTGTCAGCACTGTTATTTGGAGCAGAGTTTATTGCGTCATTAATGGTGGTGAAATCTCCAGTCCCGTCAGCAGCCACAGTCAACCCATTGTTCCCGGCATCATCTTCCTCTTCCCCATCAGAACCCTCCAAAATCCGGCGATCTTTCGCCGAAATCCAGCTCGGAAATCCCATCAAACGCCTATGAATTTTTCCATTAATTTTCGATGATTTCGCAGAAGTAGAGGTAGTAGTAGTAGTATCACCACTCTGTTTATTCTGGGAAAGCAGGGATAAAGCATTGGTGACATACTTGTAGGAATAATTAATGGAGTTAATGAGGGATGGTTTAGAAGATCCAGATGCAGAGTTTAACCCTTCTAAACAGGTGGCTTTGTTAGTCAGAGCCGCACTTAGAAATGCTCTTGCATCAGTTAATTGTCTTGAATTAGAAGAAGAACTGATTTTTGAAAGGGATTTTTTCAGAGAAGAAAGAGTGATTTGGTGCAATTCACTGCAATCTTGGAGGGTTCCTTTTTGTTTTTCCACAATGCTTGAGTGGCTGTTGGAGAAGAGTGTTGAGAGCTTCCCAGCTTCTGAAACTGCAGCTTCTAGTGAATGGAGGAGAAATGACAGAATGTCTGGGTTAAGGCTAATGGAAACAGAGAGTTTCAGGGAGTCTAAACAGGCATCAGCGTGTGGTGTGGATTTGCAGAGGGATTTAATGGCAGATAAATTAGAATCCAAATCTGGAGAAGATGAAGATGCAGAATTGACAAGAAGAGTTGTTAGCAAGAAGACAGTTGAGAATAGTAAAAGGCAGTATGGCTTCATGATTTTTGAGAGAGGGAGACCATGAAAATTTTGGCATGTGAAGAACCTCAGACTGAAGCTACTGAGGCTTTCAGTCTAGTTTTATTATTTAGTCTGAATAGTAAACAGAGAGGTGAGAGAATTGCCCTTTGATCTGTTTCATGGTTTTGTTACTTTTTTCTTTAAAAGGAAAATAAATTTTTAAGTAGCGCGGTACTTAACTAACATTCCTTCGATTTTCATTGATGAAGGTTTTGTGAATAATTGTAACACTCTATTCGTCCTCAAAATTATTGTTCATTTTGGATTTTTCATTCATAGTACAATGTGTACTGAACAATCATTTCACTACCGAGGGAGTATAACTTATTCCTTGAGTGAATTTATTTTTCTTGCAAACTGAGTGGATTATGATTCAATCAAGGGGTAAGAGGGCTTGATCTTAGAAGGTAAACAAAAATAAAAGGACTATTATGTACTCTCTCCGTCCCATAATTATTATTCAATTTTAATTTTCATTTTTAGTAAAAATTAAACTAAAATTAAAATTCTAAACTAGACAATAATTTTAAAACAGACAAGGTAATACTTGTAAATGAAGGCCGACAGGCCCCGTCGGTGGTCATCGTTGGCGAGTGACACGTCCATTTTAGAGAAGGGAGTCAGGGGACTAAACCATATTTATACATTGTATTCTCTATTCTTCTACGATAATAGCTTATATATAATGCGAAATATTGACTAATATCACATTTTGTGTACAAGAAATCTTACTTAAAAATCAATCTTTATTTCAGAAAAATAATATCCTTTATTAAATCGGTTTAGTTGATCAAAATTCCTTAATGTTTGAACGGAATGTTGAGGATATGAGATGAGATGAGTTCATTCATCATGCATGACTTGAAGGAGTAAACGCTTAAGATTGTCCAACTAAAGCGACTTAGGCTTTGTTTGTTTTAGGTTTACTCTATTCTTCGTTAGGAATAACAATATATCCAAACAACCAAGAAATTTCTTGGAAAACCTCCAAACTGGAAAAAAAAAAAAAAAACTGAAAACTCTAACCTAAATTCCCTCTAATATTATCCAGCAAGAATAAAGAGAAAATCCCAAAACACCCTTTTAAGAATTTACTCCTACTTGTGAAGATTCGAATCTCAATCTAAACCTCATTGTCAAATTTCTTGGCTATTTTAGCTAGTTTTTACTTTTTTTTCTTGCATTATAATATACATGTCCTAAAATAATTGTCTTGTGTTTTATACTTCTAATTATTTTGAGGCAAGAAAGGTTTTTAATTTGGAGGGTGATTCAAATGAAGTAGACGATGCTCAACCTTAATCCGAAAAAACTGAAGCCGGTCACATTCGTTTCCTAGCTTGTTGCGATTTTTGTTTTGATTTGTTTTTTTTTTTTCTCACTTTTTTGTTTTAAATTGTTTTTTTCCATCCAGAACACATGAACCTAGTTTTTTTCCCTTTGCTCATGAAAGCAATAATTTACACGGAGAAATGTAGGTGTAACGACAAAATAATACGTAAAAAAATTCGTGTACAAAAAAAAAAAAAAGAACGTAAAAATTTCTTTTATATATACTGTTGTCATTCACGGGATAGTGAACACTATCTGCTCACATTTGCTTTCTTTTGGCAGAATTTGGACTCAAGTAGGCAAGTGGGACTTCAATATTTAAAATAATGAAGTTTTATTATTGAGAAGAGCCTACTTTTTCCTTTACCTTTCAACTTTTCTAATACCAATATTCATTGGTAATGAAATAATCCTTGAAAAAATAATCATAATCAAGCATGTATGTCTTGTTATAAGTCCCAATCATATGATATTAGGCAAAATTCTGCACCTCTTTCCGAAAAATGGTTAAATGCACTACAAAGAAATATTTTTCATATTCTCAACCAAAAAAAAAAAAAGAAAAGAAGAAGAGGTAAAAGAGTATAGTCCAACAAAATTTTAGATTCTGGAACAAATGTCAATGATAATTAAGTCCATTTTAAAGTCATGTTATGTTCATTAAATGAAATTTACGTAATTGCACAAATGTCATTTGAGTTCATCAGTAAAACCAGTCAGTTGTATATATAGTAAGTGACTAATTGTTTCCGTTTTTATCACTTATAGATAACATAACGATTTTATCCCGCTCATTTGTATGATGTGAATATTTTTATTCCTAATTTGCTCTTTTCTAACTTTTATATTTCACCATTTGTACATTATTTGTACTTGTATTGCACATACTTTGCTCATGAGAAAACAATTGAGGAGAGATAGAAAATTTTTGAATATATATATATATATATATATATATATATATATAAAATTGAGAGACAAAACCTTTATCATTCTATTATTTAAATTTGTCCATTCGATTGTTATTTTTTTGATTCTGGCATGTGTAGCGTCCACCCCATCAATTCTTGTTTCCTTTTTGGTTCTTGGAACTCTTTACAAAGATCTTCAAAGAAATGTCTACGAGTCGTATTCTCAGAGAGTACACTGGAGTAATAGGGCGTACGTATTAGTTCAGGTGACACCGTGACTCCTGAGATGCATGCATCTCTTGTCAAATTTGGAGACCGGTTGATTCACAAGCTAATTACCGGTTTCAGTCTATGTAAAAATGAGATGTAATAATATAGATATTTAATAATAATACATGTATCTTTTAAAAAAAAAAACCGGTTTCAGTCTGATAGGAATTTCACAAAAGTTTTTGCCAAGAATTAATAGGTTTATCGCCAGTTTGCTGTTCTAAATGTCATTGTAGCGACTTTGCAGAATTTTATTTGTTCTGGAACAAAATGTCAATGACAAGTCCATTTTATAGTCATGTTAATGTTCATAAAGTTAAATTTACATAATTGTACAGATTTCATTTGAGTTCATCACTAAAACTAATCACGCATGTATAGTCGGAAGTGACTATTTTTTTTTTCCCCTTACAGATAAAACGACTTTATCCCGCTCTTTTGTATGATATGAACATTTTTAATCTTTACTTGTTGTTTTCTAACTCTTATGCATGCCACATCACTTATACATTATTTGTATTTCAATTGCATACATTTTGCACGTCAGAGAACAAATGAGGGGATAAAAAACCATTAAACTATAAACTGGGAGACAAGCATAAAGTTTATCATTTTGCTAAAAGACAAGAAACTAGTTTTATTGTCGTATGTAAAATTTATGCAAATCATATTTGTGTAAATCAGTATTGCTTCTGTCTTAAAAACGTAATTCACTTTGTTGTACGGAATGAAAGGAGGATAAAATCAGTGTAAATTAGTCTATCGAACTGTTATTTTTGTTTCTGCATAGGTTGCATCGATCCCAATAATTCTTGTGCCCTTTTTGGTTCTTCAAACTCTCTATAAAGAACTTCAAATACTATTTGTATATATTTATTTTGTATCCCTTAAATTAAGAATAAAAAATGGCCCACAAGGATGAATCTCCACATCAAAACAAACAGGTCGAAAGAATTTTTTTTTTTTTTTTTTTTTTTTTTTTGATACAGGTCGAAAGAATTTGGTTGAGCGGTCGAACCTCCTCTAGTCAAGTTTGGGGTTTGTCGTGTTATTTATTTTCATCAAATTGAACGCTGAAAAAGGGAGAATTTAATCTTGCAGGTCTACTTTATTTGTCAATCAGTGTGATTGATAACATTGTCTTTTTACGTACATTCTACGTCTTCTTTCCGCCCAGTAAGTTAATTGCATTTATAAAATGATTACGTATAGTTACAATGGGGTTTAAATATATTAATTTTTTTTTATCATTTCCCGTTCTATTAAATCTGTGTATACATACAGTAGTACAACATGATCATGTTCTGTTTGTGTGGAGAACTACAAGTGAGCTTAAAAGAGAGAAATCCAACATCAAATTATTCTGCCGACATATCTATACTTAACGATAGAGACATTATTCTTATTTTATATTACGTCTAGTGCCCGAAAATACAGCTCCGATTAATCCTGAGATTTATTTCATAAGATGAAATTTTTGGTAACGAATTTTTAATCACAAAAATGTGTTAATATTAGTGTTCAAACTCCAGCTATAATTAAGTTGGTCCATGTCTTGTGTGTTTACTATTTATTTGGTGATAGAAGCTCCTTTCAGCCCCTTTAATGCCTTAAGATTTGAACGTTTTCAAAGTGATAGTGAAGTTACAGGAATAACGGAGAAGAGCCTATTCTTTTAATTATCAACTTGTAACGACTGAGAGGTCGTTACTCATTAGATATTTTTTATGGCTTATTTTGAGTGATACACAACTTTTCGCCATTCAACATTTTTAGTTTTCATTTTTTATTTGTTTAAGTCACAGAATTAACAAATTTTGTAATCAATTAATTGGTTTGCTAGGAATTAAAAACAATAAATTGTATAAATGACTATGGAATAAGTTCCATCTTCAACTTGCATATTCTTTTCAACAAATATGCACTTGGGGGGGGGAGTTGAAAACCGCGTCCAACTTCCGGTGATCAATCAGGTCTTGGCCGACAAAAAATTGCATGATCCTTTACTTTACAAACCTTATAGCGGCACTTTACTAATTAATAATTACTGAAGATAATTTCTTTTTTTCCCACTTACAATAGTATTAATATTAATTTGTAAACCTATTTAATATTTACTGTAACATCAGCCGAATGTTTATTTGTTTTCTATCGATCACTATTATTTTCCAGAGGTAACATGCAGGCGTATATTCCTATTAGTGCGTTAATTAATCTCATCACCAACATTTAGGGCCTATTTGGTTGTCCAAGATTCTAAGTGAGGAACGTAATCTTTTTCCAATTTTTTAAATTACTTTAGATAATTTACTTTTTATATATTACATTCCTAAATTAGTTAAATTAATCCAAACACAGGAAAGTGATTTATTTTCCTAAATTTTTCTAGGAATTAAAATTCAAGGAATGACAACTTTACTTTCCTTCACTTTCCTAGCAATCAAATAGGCCTTAGTGTACAGTGAAAACATCCTAATTTTGTTGTCTTCTAGTTCATGCCGGGGAGGCAGGGAGTAAGAGAACTGAGTGATAGAAATGAGTAATTAATAATAATCGGTTTGATTCTATTTATAAAACGCATAACTTTAAATTTATTTTATTTTACCAATTTGTAGTGTGTCAATCGTCAACAATAACATCTATTACTTGTTGAATTGTAAACATTTTGCTGGTAGAATATTTGACTTGACCAAATAATATTAGATAAATTCATGTTCGTTGCTGATGATGACGGCCAACGAGCATGGATATCTGAAGGGAAAAACTTTTTTTTTCCCAGAGGTACTAAAGGTTTTATATGGATATCTGAACTTAGGCTAATACCGACCGACTTCAAACTAGAACGACGTGGAAACTTCCATTGTATGGGTGCCGTAAATATCTAGTATTGGGTTCGAAATGGTACAATTTGCAAATCTTTCCTATTTTCATTGAGAAAATATGATTATTACTGTGAGAATTTTTTTTTTGGGTACAGTTACTGTGAGAAAATTTTGATTCAAAAACAAAATTGGAAATTGAAAACGTTCATCTAGTGAAAGTATGAGTGGGATAAGAAAATTCAAACTTTCTATGCTTTAAAATAATTATTCAGTTTGAATTTTTATTTTTAATACAATTTAAACTAAAATTAAAAATTCAGATTATACAATCATTTAGGAGACCGATAGATTACTTTTTTCATTCTAGAAAAAGAGTCAACTTTATTGTACTCCTTTTGTCCGCTCTGTGAATCACATTAAAAAACATTATAATTCACAAATCGTAATGTAAATTTCAAAGACAGAGGAAATATAGTTTTAGTTCAACCAAGTGGAAAAGATAATATGCTGAGTTTTCCATTCGGATACAAATATTAAGAAACCATAGGCACGAGAAAAATGGATGTTTAGTGCCATATTTGTTTCTTTTTGTCACAATCCTGGTTTATACGGTATCCCTGTAGAAGACAACCACGAGTTTCCGGCAATCAAATCCTCCACCGTGAAACTATTAGCCACCGCCGCATCCGTAATCACATGGAAACCCGGCCACTCAACCCTTCTACTCACATCAGCTCAACTTCCACGATTCATATACTCTCCATAATAAAGCGTATCCAGCGCAAAGTTCCCGGCCCAGGGTAACCATCCCTGAGGAGAAATCGCGGAGCTAATGTTGGACTGCATGATCACCGTCGTCGAGTACTCTTTCCAGGGCCGGCCCAAGTACGTCTCCACGGAATCCGCCACGACTTCCGGCGACACGGTGATGCTGCATGACTGTAAAGAGAAGCCTGAGAATTCGGACAAATGTTTGCGCCCTTGTGCTGTGATGGCATTCTTCTGTTTGGGTAGACCTTTACGGGCAATGATCTGGCAGTCCTGGAACACGGCGGAGGCGCGGCCGAAGATGAAATCAACGGTGCCGGTGATGACGCACTCTTTGTAGAATTGGCGGTACTTGTGGGGATACAGGGTGTCTTGGTAACCCTTAAAGCCGCATCTGTATAGGGCGGAAACATCGGCGTCGCACAGGAAGGCAACTGCTTGGTGCCTTTCCGGTCCGGCCTTGTTCTCGAACGTGATGTATTTTGCGACGAATCCTCGGCCCTTCACGCCTGAAATGCATTTTGGCCTAAATGTCATCATGAATACTTGGATTGGATATCAATCGATTAACCAAGACAAGCAAATTAAATAAATATACTCAATTTAATGTCTTATGGTACGGCGACTGAAAACATGTAAGACCTCATAGCATTTGTGTAGTGGACACATATAATTTTATATTCTCTTAATACTAAACATATAGTTGATATTGAATTTTTAATTTTGTAATATTCTTGGTACAAATCTTAAATTTTTATACTTTCTTTGTCAGAACAATTGTCATCATGAATAGTTCACATTGAATTTCTCAATAATATTCTTAGTACAAATTTAAAAAAAAAAAAACATAGTGAGTATCTACTGTGGTGTAGCTAGTTTTTCCTTTATAATTAGAGTGAACATTTCTGACATTGAACTCGTGAACATAAATAGCTTCTCATTGTCACCCATAATGAGTTCAGTATGGTTCCTATATGAACTAAAATGAAAATATACGTTACGCAAAGCAAGTGATGTAAAGCAGGCGAATTAAATCAGTTAAGAAAAAAGTCTTAACCAAGTGATATAAGAGAAGATTAAAAATGAAGTGGGATTCTTACAAAAGGTAGCGGTATCATAGGATCTGCGACCGTCCACGGTGCTTCTGTTACCGGAAATGATTGAAGCATCCATGCCATCCCCGATCATCACTATATTCCATTTATCCTTGTTGATTTTCACGTACTCCTTATAAACACCTTTCTTCACGTAAACAACAAACCGCTCCGGAGATCGATCCGGGGCGGAATTCACTGCATCATTGATGCTTGTAAAGTCGCCGGAACCGTCCAAGGCCACGACCACATTGACCGGTTCCTTATCGGCCCATATGAGTTTTCGGCGTCGAATTTCTAACCAAAAAGGCCTACAGGTTTCATCACGCGCGTGGCATTTTGGATCCACCATCCCAATAGTTTGTGTAACAGATGAGGCTACTTTGTTGAGTTCATTTTCCAATGAAGTTTCAATAGTACTGTTGCCATGGTCAAATGATTCTTCGCAAGAGTCAAGGTTCACGAGGACACTGCTCAACCATGTCCTCAAATCAGAACTTAGATCGCCCGTACCAATCTCTGTATCTGTTCCCAGTAATATGAAATATATATTAATTAACATTTTTCATTATTGATAATTTTCAAGTTACATGAAGAAAGCTTGAATAATGGATAACTACATAGTTTGGGGAGGCAAAAGTGTATCCCAAAAAAAAAAAAAGTAAGGAAATTATGTGACTAAAGTTTTAACACTTTTCTTTGGCAAAGATATGGTTATTCCCACATAAATTGAAGGAGAGCTTTTACAACAAAGTAAGGGTGCTAGTACTTAAAAACAAGGATGCAGCAATTGTACCAAACATTTTTTCAAGTTGTTGAATCAAACAATAACGGACCACTAACATCAAAGCTTCCACATTAATCTAATCAAATATAGCAAGAATATGTGTTTAATACATATTGCTTAACATTTAATGAATTTTAATCTTCCTATTCCTACATTCTTAAGCATTATTTTATTTCATCAAAAAAGCTCACATTCTAAAATCCCATGCTGATTTAGCAAATAAATAAACTACCGATTGGGAGGATCATTTCAAGGTTACAACTTACAAATAACTGCCGCCATAGAGACAAACCGTTTTACAAAAAATAAAAAATAAATAAAAAATTGTCACAAAATAAAAATCACCAAAACATGCGTAATCCAATACTTTATCTTTACGACATAATCTCCAATCTGTTTTAATAATATTTAAGATGATACTAAAATTACGAAATTATGATCAAATAAACAAACTACTTTAATAATTTTAAAAAAGGAATACCGTAATTGAGTAAAGCTTCAACTGTCCAGCCTAATTCCTCAGCTGAGGTATTAAGCAGCTCAAGGCAATGCGAAAGGGAACCGGACACCTGGAGATCATGTCGTGAAGTGTTGTTGAATTTGGATACAAAAAAGGTGACCTTCCAAAGTTTTTGAATCGTAGAATTTATCGATGATACAAAATGATCAATTGGCACATTCAAACAATTTGACTGATCAACCAAATTCTTCGTACCATTATCAGATCTTACCGATGGAGAAACTGAGCCCAAGCACAAGATCATCAAGAGCATAAATTTTAGTGACTTATTCAAAGATGCCATTTTTTCCTTTTCCCTGTTTCAATGTCCAAGCTGCAATGAACATAGTGATATAAGAAGTATTTCGTATGGTTTCGTATTGGGCATTGCAATTTAGGTACTAACAACGAAAACTGGCTAGAGGCAGTCACATGTTTCCTACATATCTTTAAAAACAACGTGCACGGCTTTTATGGTTTAAAAAATCATTTATTTATAATGCATGCGTTGAAAATTTCTTGAATATGTAGGTATATTTTGGACCTCGTCCGCCTTTTTTTCTTTTTTTTTTTTTAAAAAAATCTAATCAGTTATACAGGTCATAAATCATTTTCCAGGTGACATGCTTTTGAATTTTTTTGCTTATAGAAAAACTTTGTGCGTAAGTCTCACCAACTTGTTAACAAAAGAATCTTTTTCTAATTATGTTGACGAAAAGTCGGAAATCAAGAGTAGTAATACTCCCTCCTTCTCAGGATGACAACCAAGTTTATTATTCCCTCTATCCTAAAAAAATTAGTTTACATCGATATTTGAGACTTATATTATTTTTAGTATAAATTTGAAAATACTCAATATGATTTATTTTTTTAAGAACACGGGTAGTATATTGTATATTGTATTAATTCAACGAATGAAATACTTTTTTTGAAAAAAAGAATCTAATTTCCATTATGGCGCTGACTTTAAGCAAATGATTAATTATGATTTGAACGAATTCTAAAATATATGTCTTTCTATTATTATTTATATTTTTTTATACTTTTATTGTGTGATAAGGAATTAATATATAAAAATTAAAGTAAAAGTTACAAAATACTCCCTTTAATCGAGTTATCGACATCAATGTTAGATTCACAAAGTATTTTTTCTTTTAAGGTATCTCACCTGTTGACCAATAGGTCACTGGTTCGCATCACGCGGGGTAAGTGGGGAACCATTTTTTATTTTTTTTGAAAAAAAAGAGATATATATATATATATATATATATATATATACATCTTTACCGTGTGGTAAGTAAATAGTGTATGGGAATCAATATAAGAGTCCAAAAATACTCACTCTTTGTAAAAATTTCTTGTGTCGACTTTTTGTCTACTCAATAACTAATACTAGGTTAATGAATAACTATTTACGATGACAGTCAACGAAAGTCAAACTTATTTCTTATGATTTTCTATAAAGTTTTTATGGATTACAATTTTAAATTAATCAAGTTATCCCTATTAATATAAGAGTTGCAAAATTTAATATTTTGAAAGAGAAATTATCCCCGTCGACTTGCTTGTTGACTTGATAAACCCGACATGTAAGTCGATTAGTTCCAAAATATTATTTTATTCCTATCATTTTCAATATTTTTTTAATATATTTTTACTGTGTGGTAATTATTTAATGTATGAGAATCAATGTAAAGTCACAACATAGTCATTATAGAAATTGTTTCCATCAATTTTTCCTCTACTCAAGACCTCTAACGAGACGGTTCCAAAAAATGATAGAAGGGCTATTTAGTACTTTCTCCGTCCCATAATTATTGTCTATTTTGAATTTTCTTTTGTAGTTCAAATTATACTAAAAGTGAATCTCAAATTAGATAATAATTTTAGAACAAAGGGAATATAATTGATGCTAGGTACTCCTTCTGTCTTAAAAAAAAAAACCATGATTTTTCGAATTTATACGAAAAATAATACAAATGTAAAGATTCATTTTAGAATAAAAATAGTATATTAGTATGAAGCCGAATTAAATGCGAAAATAGTTTACTGCTCTTCCAAAGATTGATATGAAAATACACATTACATTCATATGTGATCATTTAACAAAACTAAATAAGCATGTAAGACATGTGACCTCATTGTAGCTTAAAATGAGTATTAACTAGAAAAAGAAATGATACTACAAACATAAAATCATCATGCGCGTCTTACAATCCCGGTGAATACTCTATCCCAACAGAAGGCAACCAAGAATTTCCAGCAATGAGTTTCTCCACCGAAAATCGATCCACCACCGCCTTATCCTTAATCACATGAAAACCCGGCCACTCAACCCGTTTCCTCACGTCAGACCCACCTCCACTATTCATGTACTCCCCATAATACAACGTATCAAGCCCATAATTCCCGGCCCACGGCAGCCACCCCTGCGGCGAAATCCCGGTGCTAATATCGGACCGCATGATCACCGTCGTCGAGTACTTCTTCCAGGGCCGGCCCAAGTACGTCTGCACCGACGAATCCTTCGCCACTTCCGGCAACACGGAGATTTTGCAGTGCTGTATGGAGAAGCCGGAGACTTCGGATTCATGTTGGCGGCCTTGTGCCGTGATGGTGTTCTTCTGTTTGGGTAGTCCTTTCCGGGCGATGATCTGGCAGTCCTGGAACACGGCCGAGGCACGGCCGAAGATGAAATCGACGGTGCCGGTGATGACGCAGTCTTTGTAGAATTGACGGTTCTTGTGGGCGTAGAGAGAATCTTGGTAACCCTTAATCCCGCATCTGTATAGGGCGGTGAGATCCGCGTCGGAAAGGAAGGCCACTGCTTGGTGCTTCTCTGGTCCGGCTGTGTTCTCGAACGTGATGTCTCTTCCGATGAATCCTCGGCCCTTTACGCCTGAAATGGGATTTCAGTGGTAAAAAACGCATAAAATGGCCTCAATCTCATTATGAATAATTGATTAGGAAATTAGCTAATACTGTTTACTAGTGATTTCTTTTGACAAGGCACAAAAAAAAATTTCTACATCTGTTCCGGAAAAAAAAAAATTCTACTTGCTAACGTACGATCTTTTGTGACATTATGTGTGATAGTCCCTGTGGCATTGGTTAAATGATTCACACGTTTTTAAATAATTTATTATTAACACCCTAACCAAATGTTAGTGATCTCAATTTGACAAGTGATCAAATACTGGCGAGATTTTAGTTAATGTTACCGAAAGTATAATACAAAAGTGCACATAAAATCTTTTACCATTCTACGTTGAGTTTCAAATTCATATTACAGTTAAAAATCTATAAATTAATATTGTTAGAACTCCAAAAAATTATTAATTTATCGATGTATTAATTTATCGATAAATTAATAATTATTAATTTATCGATAAACTAATAGTATTAATTTAAAGAAAATCCCAAAGAATCCTAATAATCTTTTAAGCTTAACCATATAAGATTCATATTATTTTATTTTCTTATATCCCTTACGCATTAAAATTTAAACTCCATCATCATCTTAAATTTTATCATCTACCTAATCTACGTAACATGCCTCTATTAAAAGAGATTTGACCTTTCTCTAAGAAATTTTTAAACTCTCATCAATGGCTAGATACATCATGCAAAATATTCATAACATCTATAATTTCTTTAAATATAAATTTCAAGAAAAAACAAAAATCGCTAGATTCATATTTTACTAGCTCATTTTTTTTATTTCAAGTTATTATTAATTTATGATATTGACGCGCCCTATATTTACATATGGGTTTTTTTAAAAAATTATTATCTTATTATTTTATCGATTGTCTTTATTTTTTGTACTGATCCCGACTTGGGATCGAAAAAAATTATTAATTTATCGATGTTATTAATTTATCGATTATTAATTTGTCGATGTTCTACTGTATTTATAATTTAAATTTTAAAATTCAATGTTAGCTATTTTTTTTGGGACGAAAGAAGTATTTACGTGTTAGTTTCATCCGTGACACAAAATTAAACTCACGAAGTACATATTTCTAGTGTTTTATGTCAAAATTTAGACCTCTCGGTGATAGAGCAGCTGAATGAGAGTGTTCAATACCACAAAGATAAAATACATGAAGTCGAAATGATTCTTACAGAAAGTAGCGGTATCATAGGTGGTCAGGTCATCCTGGACGCTCCGGTTGCCGGTGATGATTGTAGCATCCATGCCATCCCCAACCATCATTATATTCCATTTATGCTTCTCGATCTTAACATACTCCCTATAAACACCTCTTTTCACGTGGATAACATATCGCCGGGAGGAGCGATCCGGGGCGGATTTCACCGCTTCATTGATGCTAGTAAAGTCGCCAGAACCGTCCAATGCCACGGTCACGTGAGCTGGTTTCTTACCGGTCCGGATGAGTTTCCGGCGACGAATTTCAAGCCAAGAATACCCGCGAGATACATCTTGTGCATCGAAATTTGGATGCACCATATTGAGGGTTCTTGTAACTGAAGAGGCTATTTTGTTGAGTCTTTTTCCCACTAAAGTTATGATGTTATTGCTGCCATGGTCGAGTAATTCTTCGCATGAGTCATGATTCACGAGTACACTGCTTAACCATGTCCTTAAATCAGAACCTAGATCCCCTGTGCCAACTTTTGTATCTGTTCAATTAATATGCAAATTACGCTATCATAAATTATCAATATTTCAATGGTAGGTTTGAAGAAACTTCTTAAAGGCAAAGGTGAGGCAAAGGAGGGAAAATCCATGATAACAATCTAGTAGTATTACTAATCAATTAAGTATATCGACATCTTTTAATAGCATTCGAACTTTAACATCTATATAGGAGCCATTAAAAATATATGGGCTAACTCAATTTAATGAGGCCACAGACAACAATGAATAAATCCCCGTATTGATAATGGAAGTAAATAACCTTAATTTTTACATTTATTTATCTAAGATAGGGAGAAGAATTTAATGGTTACATTTAATTATATATGTGCCATTGACATGTAAACATTCAATAACTATAGTGATGTTACAAAGCAAATTAAGTCAAATGCGGTAACTTTAAATAAATAAAATTAAGCAAAAAAATTAAATAAATTCAAGAACATGTAATACTACACTTTTGAGACATTCTAACATTTGGATTATCATTATAATGAAAAATATTTGAACGTAACTAACCAAAAATAAACAAATTAATCAAATTTAAAGAAAATACCATGAGGATGGAGTAAAGCCTCAAGGGTCCAGCCTAATTCCTCAGTAGAATGATCAAGCATTTCCAGGCAACCATAAAGACCAGAAATATTGGTGAATTTGGAGATAAACGAGGTCACCTTCCCAACTTTGTGGATTGTAGAATTTACCGATGCTACAAAATGATCAATTGGCACATTC